CAATCTAGTTAAAAGAGTTAAACAGAGAGCAGGCAGAAGTCAGAAGAGAGCTAGAAAGAAAAGAAGTTTGAGAGGGAAGGAGACAGAAAAGACTGAATGACCAGATGGCACCAATAAACACTATCCATTAATTCATTTTATTAATCTTAGGAAATACTAACAGTATAAAGAGTTTTTAGGTATAAATGTTAATAAACATGTTAAAATTGGTGACAGGATCACTGTCCGAGTTTCCTAATTTAATTTTGATGATGTGTTTTTCTTTTTATCTACGAGCTAGAATTGTCCCAAGAGTTGATTTCAGAAAACTGGTCACCTTATATTAGAAACTCTTTTAATCAGGTGACTCTGGCATCTGTCAGAGGATTTTTAAAACTTGGCTCCATGATTTGCTTTTAGTTATATAAGCTTTCCCAATCTACAGGGCTTATTGCCAGCACGCCTTTTTCTTTCATGTTACAAGCCTTTTGCATAAAGGCCTCCACTTCTCTGTTACATCCTCCCCTTCTGACCACAGCAGAGAAGTTGATGCTGCTCCACCAAGCTGCACGGCTAAATTGCTGCTAAAGGCCAATTTATGCTTCTGACGCATAGCCTCTGCAACCGTTAAATCTGTCTCTGTGCAAAAAAAATCCTGACTATGCAGACCTCAAGCGGAAGTGCGCAGACAAAAAAGCAGCTGTGATCGGTCCTTGGTATGCCTTTCCGGCTGTCTTTGTGGTCGTCCTTCTAGATTTGGTGCCGGGGCGCGCCATTTTTAAAAACCGAGGAACAGCTGCAATGGACAACCTATGTGTCCTCCTTTGTCTTTTTGACAACTCCATTACCAGAACCTGTTCCTCTTTGATGTCTAGCAACTCTAGATCTATCTCTGTGATATCTTGCAGACACGCCATTGTTGTTTTGGAAGATAAAAATTCCCGCCGGCGCCGCCGAAGTTCTTGCAAGTTTTCGAATAGGCTTCCCCTTGCACTACGTCCCTAGAAATTCCAGAGCAACAGTGCAGAAAAATACCAGCAAAACTGGTTTGCGACCAAACCTAAGCGACATTTGATGTGTGTAGTTGCAGAAGTATAATCTGGCCTTAAAGGAATAGTACACCCAAAACATGATTAGCCTTCATTTTCTACTCACCCCCATGCTGAACAACACTCTGGAGTACTTTTTTGATATCTCAAATGCATCTGGAGATCTGGGAGGCTTCTTGCTGTCTGCTGACATTCAAATAATGGAGGTCTATGGTGACCGAGACAGAAAGGTCCATAAAAGTCCACAAAAAACGTGTCAATATTCCTCCATACTGCTCGTCCAATGTATTCCAAGTGTCCTGAGTGGATAGCATCCAGAATTTACTCGAAACGAAGTCATTTAGAATGTTTTTAGAGCATAAACAGTAGTGTATAGGATTTCCTGAAAGCGCGCACACGCGCGCTCACGACGCTACTGAAGCCGGCAGATCAAACCAGATGAAAGTGCGCATTCAGCGTCTGCTCTTCCAATAATGCAAGCGTAGAAGAAGAAATGTGCTGTTTACCTGTGTAAAGAAAGAAACAACGAAAGAAAAATATCTGAGGACTTCAGTGTTGAGGAAGAGCATGAGTTCTTTGCCGAGCTGAATGCGCTGGTTTGGTCTGCCGGCTTCCGTAGCGTCGTGAGCGCGCGTGTGCGCGCTTTCAGGAAATCCTATACACTACTGTTTATGCTCTAAAAACATTCTAAATGACTTCGTTTCGAGTAAATTCTGGATGCTACCCACTCAGGACACTTGGAATACATTGGACGAGCAGTATGGAGGAATATTGACACGTTTTTTGTGGACTTTTATGGACCTTTCTGTCTCGGTCACCATAGACCTCCATTATTTGAATGTCAGCAGACAGCAAGAAGCCTCCCAGATCTCCAGATGCATTTGAGATATCAAAAAAGTACTCCAGAGTGTTGTTCAGCATGGGGGTGAGTAGAAAATGAAGGCTAATCATGTTTTGGGTGTACTATTCCTTTAATTCGGTGATAACTTGAAAAATAATTAATTCTGCATCGTTGTCACCATTAAACTGTAAACAATCCCTGACTGGACTCATGTTGCTGCTCTAGCATGCCTCTGCTCCCTGGCATTACTTCTTTTATAAATACCAGTGAGGCTTAGCATTAAAATGGACAGTGCGCCTACTAGTGGATGTCAGTAACGTTACACCACTGAAACGCAATATGTTCAATTAGTTGAGTGGAAAAACTAATCAACGATTAATTAGAAGTTGATAATTTCTTTATATGCTTGTTCCTTTGATAGAGGATATTGGCCTATCCATTATATTGACCTTATACGTGAGAGCGTTCTGACCAGCTGTCTCACTGTGTGGTGTTGACGCTGCAGTGCCTCAGACTGGAAGAAGGTGAGAAGAGTAGCAAGAACAGCAGCGAAGATTATCGGGGCTCCTCTTCCCTCCATTAAGGACATTACATTCCAGCACTGTGTGTCCCGAGCCCGTAACATCATCAATGACCCCTCACACCCTGACCATGGACTGTTCTTCCTGCTGCTTTCTGGGAAGAGACTTCGAAGCACCTGATGCAAGTCCAGCAGATTCCAGAACAGTTTCTTCCCCACTGCTATTAGACAGCTGAATGTTGTGTAAAATGGATTATTTTATTTATATATGTAAAAAAGGTTTAGAACTGTAAATATTCAGTCATTTGTTTATATTACTATTGTTTTTTTATGTTTTTATTTCTGTTTTTCAAGGCTGTACTTTAAAAAATAAAATTTTCTAGAGCTGTTTCAAATGAAAATTCTTTTTGTCTACACTCAAAATAAATGTTTTTTTTTTCGTTATCTTATCCAGGCCAATTAGTTATACGTCAGCCTGAACACCTAAATTCAGCCAATCATATATCAACGGTCATCTGTCAATCAAATTTTTTCGGTCATACGATCTTGATTCATATGTCGCATCTAATATACGCAATAGTTGAAATAAGAAATAAGAATCTTTTACTTTCCCATTGAGTTCCGTCCCAGTGTTCACGAGGATGGACGTCTGTGTCTTCGGCAGGCATAGAGCTAACAGAACTGGCAGCGTTGCGAGGCAAGGGCTCAAACATGTACGGCTGTAAGCCTTCTACACCAAACCAAGCTTCTGCCGCCCTGGCGTCCTCTTCCTCAACATCTTCGTCCACACTTTCCTCCTCTAAATAAAAAATGTATGACAGAGGAGACTCATCGACTACGACCTCCGACACTAAACTCTCATCCTCTTGCATGTTTCCTCTGTCCATAGCGTTCCTTGACAGTGTCGTTTCTAAGTCACCAATTTAGTGCTACTTGGTCCCAATGGAATTTCCCATTAGAAACCTACTAGCAATAAGTTGCTTAATGGTTAGCAAGATGCTTCCGAGACACCGGCCACAACCAAACTTGCTTGTGAACCTTCCGCCCCAACAATCCGGCCCTCGTGATAAAACGACCAATCACATTCACTTTATTCACTTGTGTAAAGTCGTGCACCCCTCTGCAGAATTCTGAACTGCAACGATTGGTAGCAGCTTCCCTGCGACTTTGAAGAGAAAGTCTCTAACTTACCCTACTGGGAATATTTTTGTCCAAAAAAGTTAATTTTTTCTGGCACTTTGTCAGCATAAATTAATTGAAAGCATTTTGCAATGTGGGGTGAAGTCGGCCATAGTTTTGGTTTGGCTTTATGTTTGCTGCTGATCCTACATGGCTTGTGACAAACTACAAACAGGACTCATATTCTGGGTCCGGGGCGTCCATCTATCAGCTTCCCTGTCAGCCTTCAGACCAGCTAGCAATCAATGCTGCTCTTTCCTGACAGGAATTACTATCATATTCTTGATGAATAGCCTACCTGAGTCTCTAGCTTGTACCCCTACATCAGGAAGTTTCAGGAGAATTTGGATTGTGAGTGGTGGTTAGAGCATTTCCGCTCTCTCTGAATCAGTGCTTAGACTGTCATAACTGCAGCAATATAACCTCCTATAATTGCCCTCTTGTCTGAATATGTTAAGCTTATGAAGCTCATAGATAGTGTGTGTGGTTAACTGGCCTGGAGCCCAGGCCTGCCAGGAAGCCATGCTGTGATGAATGGAAATGTGCATATGCAGCTAATTGAAAGCAGAGGAAATTGATACGGTTATGAGAAAAGCATTGTGGGATTTTGTTTCTCCTCTAGGTATACAAATATACGCAGAAAATAGTTTATCTGTGAGGTACAAGTAAACCTCAAAACAGATAAATGATGTGTTTATATCTGCTCTATCAAGAAAATCCTGTTGGTTTTAAATCCAGTTAAACTACTTTACACCGCTCTTACAATAAGTGAACAACATGCTGTGGAGGCTGACGGAACAGTTGTTCTCAGTTCTGTTTTTGTTTTCTGCCTTAGAATAAATAAATAATGAGAACAATTCTGGAAAAAAACATGATAGCCATCAGCGCTAATAGATAATGCTTACCTATGTTGTTTATTGGCAACTTTGATAAACAAGGGAGACAAAACGACAGAGTCATTTTTCTCACTTACACCTCTGATGCAGTCCCAGTTATGCTGCTACTATATGCGGCAGTGCAGCTGAATAAATCATCAAAGCTTTCTGCAGCTTAAATTAAATAATTCGAAGTGGACTTTTTCACCGTGCCACAGGTGAAACATATGTGAATTAGGTTATTATTGTAACTATTGATAAAACAGGAACTTTGCTGGATCTCGCTGTATGCTTCAGGTAAATGGTCCAAACAGCACTCTGACACTACATGTGTCTGCACTTAGCAGCTTATTAGGATGAATTGGTGGATTTACGGAGTTTTATGCAGAGAGAGAGACATGGCAGGATTCCATATGACTATTTTGGCAATGAAGTTATGATAAAATTGTAGGAAAATGACTAACAGCATATGCCTCGAGGTTTTCCTGAAAAGGATTTCATGCTATGCTGCAGCAAATCTGTAAAGTTAATGACCTTTATAATTTGCTTTGGGCCAGATTCTGCTGGAGCCGGCTGTCATCCAGGATGTCCTGTCTGCGGGCAGTCACCTTCAGCTGCTGGAGCTCCTCAGCCTCTGCTCAAGCTACCTCATCCAGGTACGCACACCTAAACCACACGAGGATTTTCTACAGCACTCAAGCTAGCTTTGCATTGTAATAGCTCATGCATAGCCCGCACCTTTAACCTCAGCTCCAATCATTAGTTCTATCCTGAACTCTTAAGGTGGATTCTAGAAATCACGCCCTCCCTGATGAGGGCTGGGATTTGGTGCTGTGAGGAATACTAATCCTGAATAAATCCTTGTGTTAGCAACGACAAGAATCAATTCATCATGTGCATCTCTCTTCTGATCTCGACGTAGAAGTACTGTAGAACCAAATTGCAGATTCATTCCATATCTAATAAATCATTAAAACATTTATCCTGTCTTTGCTTCACACAGAATAAGAGTGTTTTATTATTACTCCTTTGTTTTTGCAGTAATTACTACAGAAAAACACTTAAGCTTTTAGCATATTAACTTTTCTTTTTTTAAATCATTGTACCTTTATAGCTGTATTGTCTTAAATCAACACAGTCTAAGTTTTGATTCAAGTGTTAGCCTAATTTGAATTTTATTAGATTTGTCCGGCCAAAATTCAGCGCTTGCTGTATATCTGTGCTCCGTGAGGGCTGCCCTTCTAAAACACTCAACTATGGCTACGTTCACACAGTAGCCTGAAATGACTCAAATCCAATTGTTTTTGCCCATGTGCGACCTGTATGCGGTCTTTACGTGACAGTCTGAGCAACACAGATCTGATTTTTTCCAATGCGACCCAGACCACTTGGCTCTGTGGTTTTGAATCCGATACGAATTTGATCTTTTCAAATGCAACCTGTGTCTGAATGGCCATGTCGCATTCATCCGACCTGAACTCCATTATTAGCCGACATAGGTCACTATTCCATTTAATGTTGTGACCGATAAATGTGTATTGTCTTATTCAACTGGCTGTTAAATGATCAAACTGTTTCCCAGCTGTGAACGTAACACCTCGCTCCATTCATGTTTCCCAGTGTTTCCGGTTTAATTATTTATTTATTTTATTATCTATTTTGTTAGTGCATCGGAGCGAACTGGAGCGGAGCGAAATCCTCGTTGCATCCTTTGAATTGAAATCGCTCTGCCCGCCACCATATTTCTTCCACTCTGCTCCTCCACTCCACTGGAGAGTCATATTTATGTTTGACGGTCTTGAAAAGATTGAGTTTTTAAGGTTGGGAAATGTTTACTTCCGTAAACTTAGAGCGCGCTTGCCTGTGACATCTACCGCCCTCTACTGAGCATGTGGGACACTTAAGCTGTATGAATGCAGTTCACACAGGAGATCACATACAAGTCGCATATATTTGGAAATGTGAACAGCAACACAAAAAAATCAGAATTGAGAATTAAGGCCTGCAGTGTGCCTATGTAACTAAAGAACAGTCCCGTTACAACATGGCAAGCAAACCAAGCAATTCCCTAGGGCCCCGAGTTGGCCAGGGGCCCCCAGACAGTGGTTGACCTGGTTATAAACTGCATCTATTGACAAACTTTGCTAATTGCTCACTGCTTGCGCAGTCTATGCAGCTTATAAAATAAAATCCAACATAAACTGCAAATCAATTCGATCAATGCATTTTTTTTCTATTTTACAGCCTGAAACCAAAGATAAAAATATGAGAAACAACTGTCGTCCCCTCGGAGATAATATGGAGAAACGGAGCACAGTTTTTGCTTGCCATGCCACGTTTAATATAGTAATAATATAAAAAATTGAAACGGGAATACATTCATCATTATTTTATTTTGTTTGGGTGCTTATAGCATCTCAGCCTGCATGACGCTGGATATCCCAGTCAGTTTTATTGATTAAACAGAATTTTACTCTCCTGGCGGATGACCTAGCCAGTGCTTTATATCCCTAATGAAATCAGTTTTACAAAAAAAGATGAATAGGTTGAAGAGTTGGATTTAGATGAATATGTTTAATTGAACATCAGTGTCCTTTAAAAAAGGGTTCATAAATGTCCTTACTCAGCACATCAAAGAGCTACAGGTGCATAAATAAATAATCCCATAGGAAGAAGACTATGTGGTGGCCCAAATTATTTAGCAGTCTAGGCTTCCAGAACAATGAAACTCACAGGTCTGTAACAACCCTGCTATCCAATAATCACCTTAAGATACACCTGTTAACTGTGCAGCGCAATTCTCCATGAGAATTTTTTTTTCTTGCTAAATTCAATTACACGATGAAGCAAAAACATAATCAGGAGTCAATCCGCACATTTTCAGATAAGGTGGCTCCACTTTAATGTGATCAGCAAAAGCAGATCGCACAGTTTGTGAATATTTCTGCTACTGTACATTAAAGCATTCAGTGCTGATTGTGAAAGAAGATAAAGTTGATTAATGAAGCATGAAGCAAAACAGCATCAAGAAAGTGGCATATTTGCACAACCATTGGAGAAGTGAGAAGGAAAGATGTGAAAAATAGATAAAATCTACTGACATTTTATAAGATTTTTTCTTTATGGATAATAATCATTAAAATTAATCATTAAATCATATACTATTACATAATTTATGTAAGTAGAAATGCCAAAAAACAATATATATATGTATATATAAATATATAAGTGTGTATGCTGAGATACATGAAAAATTAGAGCAAACATTCGTGATTGGACATTTAAATTCAGCGATTGTCACTGCAGAAAAGTACAATAATGACACCGTTATCGGAATACGCCTCGAAGTGCATAACCCTTGAATGAATTTTGCTTGGGGCCCCCAAATTCCTTGAAAAAGAAATGTCACACAGAGCGTTGCTTTACAGCAGTCTGAGCTATCCTTAAACAGAGCCAACTAAGCTCAAAGTTTTTGTTAGGCAATAAAGCCAGATGCCTCTTATCCGATCAGACATATTTTGGTTTTCTGATGAAGAATTTAAATTAGAGGGATGAGTGTGGCTCTCCATGACTTCCCAATCAGCTGGTCTGCTAGTAGATTCAAAAACATTAAAGGAAACTGTTAAATTTTCTCACTGCACTGTATTGCCAGTTGCTTTCAGGGTTTTGCCAAACCTGAAAGCAAGATACAGAACTAGTGCTCCTAATGGCTCAATGTTAGACAGGGCTGCTTAGTGTGTTGATTTATGAAGGCCATTGAAAATCCTCCTATGAAAGCATGTATTACTGTTTCAAAGAGGTTCCTGGGTTTCACTTTTTCCAAAAACCTTAAAAGATTACTGCAGGTTTAAGTGCCCTAAATGGTTCATCTATTTAAGATAGTTGTCTAACTGAAATGTGATTTTATAAAAGGTACCAGGGGCCCCAGATTAACTTGATGCCTGCAGTTGCAAATGTGCAAAAAACTGTCTGCATTACGCAGACATGAAAGATAGCAAGTGTATTTCACTAACGCCAATTATTACACATTCAGTGCAGACCTAGAAACCTTTAAGAAGCATTTATTTCTTGTATGCCTGGTCCCTGAAGTCCTGTGTTATTATTGATCACTGCAGCTGTGTCCGAATGTGCGCCCTAACCCCTCTATCACTTTACAGAGCGAGGTCTATGTGGTAGACTGTATAGTGAACACAGTTAAATGTTTAAACATATGACCACTATTTTACATTCACCATTGGTCAGGTGATTTATGGCTCATTGCACGATGCCCGTGCCATCTTTGTTCTCTCTGGCCCCCAAAGCAAATTCAATGATGCTTTGTGAGAAGGGCTCCTTCATGGAGTCAGAAAGGGGTCAAAAGGTTTGTAAACTTCTAAATCTTTGTTGTAACTGAAAAAATAGAAGTTGATATTTAATGTAAAATTTTTACGTTATAATGTGAGAAACTGAAAAAAGCAAACATAAAATCGTAAGAATTGAATCTAAATTCAGTTTAGTATTTTAATTGCACTTTTTCTTTTTTATTTCTTTGCTTTATTGCAGTTTGGGATTTTATATTTTCAGATTCAAATCCATTTCTTTCAGTTTCTTTTTTTTAGTAGTTTCAAATTGCTTTTTCAGTTTCAGGATTTTTTTTTTTTACACTTTCAAATCAGTTTTTGTTTTTTTTACCCCCATCTGACAGGAGTGGGCAGGGAAATGTGATTGACAGCTTGCTGCAGCAAGCAGCTTTTCTAAAAAAGGGCAGATAGATCTGACAATCATCGGTGAAGAAGTGGAATGCGATTCCATGATTTTTCTAGAATGGTATGGAACTTACAAAAAGCAGTGGGCCAAAAACCAAACCCTGCTGGACCTCAAATGATAGCAAAGCATAGGATAATTTTGAGTCAAAAACGTTGATACAGAAAGACCGATAGGCCAAGTGCTGTTATCTGAATATTCAGTAACAGATTTAAAACTGGTATTAAAATGTTTGCAGTGTTGACGTCCGTTGCTTATTCTGAGCAGAACCAAAAGATTATAGTCAGTAGTGCAGGGGTAACCAATAAAAAAAATCAGCTGGGTCCGAACAAAGAAACTAAACAATCGCACATATCAAGGTGCTCATTTTGAGCCTGGATCCATATTTATTTTTGATTCTGTTCATGGTGGTGAATCCTGCTTCACAGCAGCAGGTTGAGCCAAACATCCTCTAAATGTGCAGGGTCATCTTTGAGCACCATTTCACTTTTCTTTCACCAGTTCACCACTTTCTCTGCTCTCTTTTTCTCATCGTCTTCTCCTTCTTTCCCATCGCCCGGCTTGCCACAGGTTTGCTTGCTGTGTCTAAAAGTAGCAGCAGCAGCAACCCAGACTGACAGCAGCTCATTGGATCATTTGTATCACGTCTAGCCTGGTCCCAAACGCTCCTGAGGGCTTTAGTATGTTAACAGGAGAAGCGGTGCAAGTAAAGTTAGATACTGTCATAGGACAACATGCAGTAATTTATAAATGTCTTAAATCAGGTTGGGTCTGGATTAGCCAGCAGGTGGATCTGGATCCAGACTGCGGTCTGCTAATCCCTGACCTCTGCAGTAGACTATACGGTCAAGATGATGTTAAGCTGAGAAGATATAATTAGTGATTCTTAATGATGCTGAATTGATTCTATGAG